GCCTCCAGCCACCTGTCTGCCACTTCCTGTCGAGATGAGGAAACTGAACCCAGTAGGGGCAGAGGCCAAGCCTGGACCTGAATTCACCCAGTCTGAGCCCCTCAAACCAGATTAGTTCCTGCCCCTACCACCACATACCACAGATAAGAAGCCTCATCCAGAAAGGTGAGATGTTCCCCAAGGTCACATAGTAAAGACTGGACTCCTACCCAGCTGGGTCCCCTCCAAAGGGCCTTCCCACAGTGACACAGTTCTGGGACTCACAGAAGGAAGGGAAGAAAAGGTGAGAGCCATGGGGTTTCAGAGATGGAAAGACGCAACAGTGCTCACAGCCAGGCCCAGGGGAGGGCAGAGATCTCAGCCTCGGTGACCCAAGGACCTGGGTTCTTATCCAACTTTAGCCATTTCTACCATCTGGCCTTACACAAAAGAATTCCTGTTTTGAGCCTCAAGTTCCACATTTGCTTAATGGAGTTAATGAGCCCCATCCCCCAGGACAGGTATGAGGACTCAGAAGACGCAAAGAAAGGACCTGGATCTGGCCGTGGCCCTCGCCCTGTCATGTACTTCTCCAGTCTGTTGTTGAGAGTGAGAAGGGCCCTTAGAGGTCTCTAAGTGACCCTGCGCTTCACAGGGGGAGGGAACAAGGTGCTGGCTGATGGGACGGACTCTCCACTGTTTGAGAGTTTGGAACCCAGGGACCCTGTGGCACAGGAGGCAGGGCAGGCCGTGAGACAGAGCCAAGAGGGGGCCGCTAGAGCTGTGCTCAAATGAGAAGGGGAGGAGCTCTGGACAGGAAGTCAGAGGAGACAGGTCCCCACTGCCTAGCTTCCTGTGGCAAGGGGAACCTCAGGTTCTTAGCCACACTCCCAAGACCTCCCGCACCTGCTGCAGCACCAAGCCCCTCAAGGGCCCTAGCCTTCAGCCCACTCCTGCCACAGCCTGGTTCTGGCCAGGCACCACTCCTGCCTCTGGCTGCTGTGCGCCAGGCAGGCAAGGGTCACTGGAATTACCCACCTCCCTCC